CCACAAAAAAAAAAAAAAAAAAAAAAAAAAAAAGAGGAGGCGTTGGAACCAGCAGATGGCATGATGGTTACATTGCTGGACACTCATGTAGTTGACCACAGTTCGAGTCCCAGACCCGGCACCTTGAAACTCACACCAGGCGCGTGTGTATGTTTGCCCAAGTGCCTGCCCAAAATCCCAAGAGGAGAATGGAGGAGGAAGGATTTGCAGTATGGCTATCCCCCAGGAGGTGATTTCTCACTCTCTTTTTCTCTGTGTCTCTCTGGCGAGCTCATGGACCTGATAGCAAAAAACTGTCTCTTAAAAAGAAAAAGAAGAGAGTCAGTTTCTCCACCTTTCTTTCTATATATATGTATATATTGCTATAGGGCTTCTGAGTTAAGTGGAGAGAGCAGGGGTGAGGGATGGAGATTGGAGGAAGTGAGAAAGCACCCTCCAGGGTGGATGGCTACACTGCAATCCTCATTCATTCTCCTCTTGGAATTGTGGGTACACATGCACATGCAACTTGCTCTTCAACCTGCTTTTCAAGCTGCCAGATCCAGGATTTGAATCGCACCATCATCCATGAGGGATCTAGCCACCTAACCAACACGCTACCAGTTGGCCCTCTAACCTTTGGATATGGGTTTAGCTATGTGATTTGTTTTGGCCAGTGAGACAGTCGGAAAGGTCCCATTGTGCCCTAGGGCTGCCCTTTTTTGTGACACTTGGAGCCCTCTCTTCATGAATTTAAGCCAAGGCTAGCCTGCCAAAAGAGGACACAAGACCTGTCTTTCCATCATTCCTGCCACACCTTAAATGTCTAAGTGAGGCTGCCCTAGAACATTCAGTACCAGAAGACTCACCAGCTGTCTCCAGAGTCCTGAAAGTCCAGTAGAGCCAAAAGCAGAAGAACCATTCAGATGACCTGCAGAATCACGAACTAAAGAATGGTCGCTGTTGGGTCTACATTTGCGGGTGATATGTTATACAGCACTAGCTAGCTGATACACTGACCAAAAGTTTAAGAAGGATAACTATAGCATAGTGGTTAAGTGCTATGCAGAGGGATCTGGATCCCACATGGCTCACCACAATTTGAAATCTGGTCCTGGAACTTGAAAAACATGCTGAACATGTGTGTGCATGCCCAGGATCCTGACGGGCTAGAGAAATGGAGGAAAAAGGATTACGGCATGACCACACCCCATTGGGGGATTCCTTCTCTCTCTCATACACATACATTCATTCCCTAAACAAAAAAAGGGAGGGAAAAAAAGGATAACTTCTTTTTTATTCTTCTCATCTGGCCTCTGTGTCCTCAAAGTCAGTTTGAGTCAACAAGGAGGGGTCAATGGGGAGAAGACTGTCATATGTACACCCTGGCCTCTGCTGAAACGGCACTGGTCCTGGAAGGTCACCACCGAGGAGGCATCCCTCATTCAGGCCCATGGGTCCATCAGCTCTAGATCACTTCCAGGTCATTCTATTTTGACAATGGAATTTGGGAAATCTTTGGAAAATGCTGGGATCCCAGGTTTCCTCCACACATGGCAAGCCAATGCACCTGCCCCTGGCGCCTACACTCTGGTTTTCTTATCCACATTCCCAAAAAGAAAATAAATAAATAAATAATAAAGCACAGAACATAAAGAGCCCTGACACAGCTAAAGATAAATGTCCCAGGCCAGCCAGAAGCATGGTGGTTAAGGTGGCTGGATCCCACAGGAT